CAATTACGCAGCATGTGTATGGATAGAGCTAAAAACATGAAATTTGGAATGAGAATTATGGTTGAGAAGTAGGGTCGATATAAGGTAGGTGGTTTTGGAAGCGTGTACTCATGTATACGAAAAGTACTAAACTGTACTAAATTTGGTACAATTTGAATTTTGAGAAACGGATGGAGCTGGAGCTGATTAAAATTAATATTACCGTCGGAGTGTAAAATAGCGATATGTAGGTAGTTTTAGAAATTTTTATTTATGTGTACGAAAAGTACTAAATGGTACTATATTTTGCACAATTTGGATTTGGGTGAACCAATAGAGCTGGAGCACTGAAATTTGGAAATAAGATTACTGTTAGAGTGTAGGATTGAGGTATGTTGGTAGTTTGGGAAATTCGTACTAATGTGTACTAAATTTGGTACCATTTGAACTTTGGATGAACCAATAGAGATGAAAATCTAAAATTTTTGGAGTTAGGATTACTGCTGGAGAACTGAAATTTGGAAATAAGATTACTGTTGGAGTGTAGGTAGGTTGGTAGTTTGGGAAATTCGTACTTATGTGTACTAAATATGGTATCATATGAATTTTGGGTGAACCAATAGAGCTGGAATCCTAAAATTCGGAGTTAGGATCACTGTTGGGGTATAGGATTGGGGTTTGTATCAAATGTTGGAAATTTCTATAAATGTGTACTAAATGGTACTAAATTTGGATTTAGTAGACCGATAGATCTGGAATTGGATTGTATGATGTAGGTAATAATGGAAATTTGTAGTTATGTGACCTAAGTGGTACTAAATTTTATACAATTTGGATTAAGAGTAAACTGATAGAGGTGGTATCCTGAAATTTGGAATTAAGATGGGGTATGTGGGAAGTTTTAAAAATTCATACTTATGATTGTAAAGGAAGGTAGTTATGGAAATTAAATTAATGTATAATAACTGGTATTAAATTTGGATTTGGGTGAACCTATATTTGAAATTTGGAAATTTTATATAAGAGAATATAGGTACTAAATGGTATATTAAAATTTCAATTATGGTCGGTTTTTAAATAGGTAGCGGGCATATGCTAGTCTTAGTATAAAATTGTATCATTCTGTAGATAGCGGGCTTAAAAAAATCAAAGCCTGGTGACGAACGGACGTGTCTAAATCGTCTTAGAATCATATACTGATCAAGGATGTATATACTGTATGGATGGAGGTTATAAAAAAAAATTGCCGCCTTCAAAGTGTAGTTCCTCATATAATTAAGCGTTGAAACTCCACCGCGATTTATTAAACTACCTTAAACAATCAGATTTATTTACTGGAAAATGAACTCAAGACCAAGAAATTTTCAAATACTTCTTTTTAAAATCTATGTTTATTGCATATTATAAAGCCGATTTACAAGGTTTTCGATCTACGTAAACCCTCTTAAATGTCTATATAAAATATTAGTATCTATTCATAGGGAATATAGACTGATATCTTTAGAAGATTTTTTACAAGCAGAATACGCCAATATCCTTCTATCTATAGACGCCAACATAAATAATAGGCCTAACCAGAATATTTTTGTGAAAAAAATTGATATACGAGTTTATTTTATACATTCCATCTTCATACTATAACTATTTCTTTTGTCAGAATGTCAAATTTTAATTAGTTTTCAGAATTAAAGTCATGCTTATATCGACCCATTAAGCACACAATTTCACCTCTAACCTATTTAAATATAAATTGTTTAACTATGAAAAATATGTTGGAATATTTTCTGGTATGTATATGATTTACAACAATAAAAGATAAAAAAAATATTTGTAGTTTGTAGAAAAAAACTTTTTCATTGAAACAACCACAAATCGGCGTACTAATAAAATAATTCGTATAAAATTAGATTGGACAGAAAAAAATCTATACTAATATTCTTTAATATTAAGTTATCCAAAATTGAAAACAAATAATAATAATTTAAATATTAATGCTTAATATGGTTATAACGATCTGCAGGTCGAACAAATAATATTAAAATAATTTTTTAATATATTCTAGATCGGAGTACATATTTATATATTTGGACGAACTCGTACAAGACTATTAAAGTTTTTTAATTCCATAGGACATAGACTACTTAAGAAAACACTCCAGAGTACGTACGATCATATAACAATCGGATGCTTGTATTGTATCCCTTAATTTTTTTATTTTGTATAGGTATCCAGGTATTTCAATAATTATGAATACGTTGTAATCACAAAGGTCTAGGAAGGCTATATATGACAATTAAAATATGTATTTTCTGGCCCATAATGTATCGATTTAGACCTGTCAGATAGAACCCAGACGTTCTCTTCATTTGTCGATAATAACTAAGAAGAATAGCATACTGTTGCCGTATTCCGCCGTATAATTTTCGGATAGGCATTCTAAAAAAACATAGTTATAAACATAACTGCGAGATGTCTTTAAAGGTTGAAGCGTGTACTCCAAGGACAGAATTCATTCCGTATTCATTTAACGTGTCGGCAACTAATGGGTGGATTGCCATCCATAATATGGTGGTTAGAATTGATTACTAAGAAACACAGCAAAATCGTATTCCTATCCGATATAGGTAAAAAATCTTTATTTCGATATATAGATGGTCCACCAGTGTCATGAGGAGGCACTCTATAGCAGTTCTCATGGTGGCATTCTTACAGGTCTGAATACTTCTCTATTAACACAAAGAAGTCCACACTGCGGTACAGGGTCTATGTCTTTGTGTATATGTTTGTAACAGGCAAAAGGAAACGGGATAAACACATGGTTCCTTTTGAGAATATACATAGAATCACTTTCTGAGTCGATTTATGCATTTCCTTTTGTCCGTCTATGTGAAATTATAAACAAAGTATAGGACGCATTCATGATCCGAATTGGATGACATTCGACACATCTCGTTTATTTGGCCCAAGGACAAACCTTATTGAAATTGGAAAAAATCGGTTCATATATATATTTTCGTTCGATTTAATGTAAAGTCCCTATCTATCTTTCGATTTTCACGAAATTTGGCATGGCTTACTGAATTAAGTCTAGAATGATGTGTGTTAAGTTTCGTGAAAATCGGTTCAGATTTAGATATAGCTATCATATATATTTTCATCCGATTTTTAGCAAATGGTGCAATTGGCACGAAATGTCGCACAACGTTCTGAAGTAAGTATAGCCCAACGTGTGCCAACTTTTATTGAAATCGGTTCAGATTTAGATATAGCTCCTATATCCGATTTTAGGTAAATGGTGCAGCAAGGACGCTAAGTTCGGCCGATTGGCACAAAATTTTGTTCTTCGTACAGAAGTTAGTATAGTTTAAGGTTTGTCAGGTTTAGGTAAAAAGGGTTCAGATTTTAATGTATCTCCCAAAATATGTCCAAAACAAAACGGAACAAAACGTACTGAAATTAGTATAACCTAACCTGCGACAAGTTTCGTTGAAATCGGTTCATATTTGGATATAGCTTACATATATATTTTCGTCCGATTTTAAATAAATGGTGCACCAAACTCCTCATGTTTGTCAGATTGACATGAAATTTAGCACATCGTACAAATTTGAGCATGGAATGACTTAATTGCATTTTGTAGAAGTACACACATAGCCCATATATATATTCGACCGACTTCGTGTTAATTGGGCTCCAAATATAAATACGTCTGTTAGGATGCATATGTTTAATATACCCATAGTGGTGAAGGGTATCATATAGTCGTCGGCGTCTGACTATTTTCCTTATGGTTTTGAGTTGAGTTCTTCTAATGAAGTCTGATCTGAATGGCTTTCCAAAAAAAGTATAGCTCAAGAATCCCACGGTGCTATAGCATATGAAAGTAGCCTCTATCTGAAAAAAATAAATAATAATAAGGATTGTTCTTTTTGAAGATTTTTTTAATTTGATTACCGCTGAAGACTGCATGCCTCTTCTTCTATTTTTCATATGCCAATGGAATCTTCTTTTATAGGTTATGTAGTACATTTTAGTCACCTTGTGGTATTTGTTCCAGTTGTGTATAGGTTATAATTGGGTGTTATATCCGTTTTAATAAATTTATTATTACTCCCTAACCTTCCGTGGTGAGACAGTAATAATAAGGGCCTTTTTCATACATTTTTAAATATTACTTAAACTTTGTGATGTTATTTTTTATAGGTTATGTCCATTTAAGTCTATTTGACAATGTTTCTATTCGGGAAGAATTTTTATAGCCATTATAACCATATTAAATACTATTCGTAATTATATTTTCCAATTTGTTTCAACTATTTATATCTTTGTTTCACATTTTGGATAACCCGACAGCATTATAACCTAACATTTTCATTCCGCATAACCAAACAATAACAATTAGCATCTTTCTTAAATACACACTTCCTTGAAAATAAAATTTCAAATAACAAATAATATTTACAATAATCCATAACAAATAAATATTTACTATTTCGAAAATAAGCTTTGTAAAAGTATGCAAATATACGAAATTTCGTTGATGCAACTACTACGCAGCCAAATATCAATGCAAAAAAAAAACGTAAGAAATGCAACCGAAAATGAAATGATGATGGCGATGGTGATGACAAATACAAAGAGGATGAATTTTTCCATTTTATTTTCTTCTTATTTTGTGGTATTTTGGCATTTTTGATTTTTAAATTATGAAAATGATTTCTTCTTTTTTTTTTGTACCTCCAATTAACGCTGTATGTATATAAGCGAATTTTTGCTGTATTATATATAATATATAAGAAGCGTCTTTTGTATATAATAAGCCAGCGAACGTCTTCAAATTTTGTCAATCACAACAATTTCATCCATTTCAATGGTGTTCGAATAGACAAACGGTTCACCGACTTGTATATATTTTTGAATCGAACATCATAATCGCTGCTGCAGCCGAGCATTGATTTCTACCACCATAATCGCTATTGATTGATTAATAATATTTAATTTTTTTCTGTTTTTAAAAACAGTTCCTGCTCCACCACCATTGCCATCGCTGGTGCCCAAGGCTCCTCCACCACCACCGCCACCATTGGGAGCACCTGGTGAGAAGAAGTTGACTGAAGCTCAGAAACAGGCATTGGAGAAACTGAAGTAAGTTTTTTTTTTTTTTTTGAAAATTTAAGATATGAAAACAATATAACAAAGAAACCTTGCGATTAAATACCAACAGAGAGGATTAGGGGCTGGAGTCATTATAGAGGGCCACAAGGACATTGTTATAGTATAATGAAAACTTAATGGAAAAAGTGACAACATAAGGTGAACATATCTATAGAAGAACTGAAAGCAGTCCTTTAGCTGAAGAACAAGTTTTTTTCATGGACGAGCTTAAGAGAGATTCTTTATAGCCGAGCTGAGAGGAGCATTCATAGACTGAAGAAAGTCTTTTCATAGACGAACTGAAGTAGCAGAAGAGCTGAAGTGGGAGACTTCCATAGACGAGCTGTAGAGGTAGTAGATCATAGGCGAGCTGAACCGAGTCTCTATACACAAGAAAAGGAAAATAGAACTGATGGGAGCCCCTATAGCTTAAAAGGGAGACTTTGATAGGTGAACTGAAGACGGAGTCTTTGATAGGCGACCTGACGGGGGAGTCTTTGATATGAAGAGGGAGTCTTTCATAAACGAGCTGATGAGTTAGTCTTTCATAGATGAGCCGAGGAGGAAGTCTTTGATAGGCGAACTTAAGAGACAGTCTTTCATAGAAGAGCTGATGAGGTAGTATTTCATAGACCAACTGAAAGGAATCTCTATATACAAGGGGAAGGGGACCTCAATAGACGAACTAAAGGGAGCCTCTATAAAAGAGTTGAGAGGAGTCTTTACTAGACGAGCTGAAGGAAGCCTCTCCTGGAGGAGCTGAAGAGGTAGTCTTTGATAGAAGAACTAAAGGGAGGCTTTCATAGAGTAACTGAGGAAGGAGTATTTCATAGACGAGCTACAAAGGAGTCTTTATAGAGCTGAAGGGAACCTCCATAAAACGGCTGAGGGGAGTCTTTCATAGACGAACTGAAAAGGGGGTCTTTGATAGGCGAACTGAAGAGGGAGTCGTTGTTAGGCGAACTAAAGAGGTAGTCTTTGATAGGCAAGGTGAAGAGTGAGCCTTTCATTGACGAGCTTAGGAGGGAGTCTTTCAAAAATGAGCAGTAAGGGGAGTCTTTGTAGACGAGCTAAATGAAGCCTATATAGGACAGCTGTAAAAATTTTTCAACGTCCTGAAGCTCAGAAAGTCTCTATAAACAGACTGAAGGGAGTCTTTATACACGACCTGAAGACGGTCTCTATAGACCAACTGATGGGAATCTTTAAAGACGAGACTTAGAGACTCAATATAGATGGGCTGAACACAGTCTCTCTAGACGAAGTGGAACTAAAGGGAGTATTTATAAACGAGCTGAAGCTCAAAAAATTTTATAGAAGATCTGCGACTCATGCAGTTTTTGGCGTTTTTTGTAAGAAGTCTTTTTAAACGTCCTGAAGCTCAGGAAGTCTTTCCAAACGAACTGAAGGGAGAATCTATACACGACCTGAAAACGGTCTCTATAGACCAACTGATGGGAATCTTTAAAGGCGAGTCTTAGAGACTCCCTATAGATGGGCTGAACACGGTCTCTCTAGACGAAGAGGAGCTAAAGGGAGTATTTATAAACTGAAGCTCAAAATGCTTTATAAAATATCAGGCTGATCAGGCAGTTTTTGGAGACGTACTGAAGCTCAGTATATCTTTGCAGATGACCTAAACCTCAGGAATCATTAATAGACCAGATTAAACTCAGGGTGTTTTTATAGACGAGCTGCAGCTCTAAAAGCCTTTAAAGACCATCTGAAGAACAGGGGGTCTTTAGAGAAGAGCTAAAGCTCAGTAATTTTTTAAGCGAGCTCAGGCTCACAAAGTCTTCTTAGGCGATCTCAGGCTCAAAAAGTCTTTATGGACCAACCGAAGCAAGTATTTATGGACAAGGTGAAGAGTATTGGGTAGTTTTTAGAGACGTACTGAAGCTCAGGACATCTTTGCCGATGAGCTGAAGTCTCGGGAAGCCTTAATGAACCATATCAAACTCAGAGAGTTTTTATATACGAGCTGCAACTCTAGCAGCCTTTAAAGATCTATCTGAAGATAAGGGAGTCTTTAGAGGAGAGTTAAACTCAGAAAGTCTTTTTAAGCGAGTCCAGGCTCAGAAAGTCTTCTTAAGCGAGCTCAGCCTCAGAAAGTCTATATTGACCAACTGAAGCTTAGCAACTATTTATGGACAAGGTAAAGAGTATTGGGTAGTATTTAGAAACATACTGAAGCTCAGGATATCTTTGCCGACGAACTGAAGCTCAGCTAGCCTTAATAGACCAGATTAAACTCAGGGAGTTTTATAGACGAGCTGCAGCTCTGTAAGCCTTTATCGACCATCTGAAGATCAAGGGGTTTTTAGAGATGAGTTAAGCTTAGAAAGTCTTTGTAAGCGAACTCTGGCTCAGAAAATCTTTATGGACCAGCTGAAGCGTATTGGGTCATTATAGAAGAACTGAAGGTCAGAATATTTTAATAGACCAGCTTAGAGGGTATTTACTCAGAAAGTCTTTAAAGACGAGCTGAAACTCAGGGAACGGATACACATTCTGAATCTCAGGAAGTACTTATTGGCATGCTAAACCTCAGGAAGTCTTTATAGACGAACTTAAGCTCAGTAAGTCGTTATAGACCGACTAAAGCTTTGGGCGCATTTTCTGATGAAATGAAACTCAGCGAGTCTTTATGACCAAGCTAAAAGAGTCTATTCAAATAAACTAAAGGGTAAGGGAGTCTTTTTAGGCAAGGGTTGGGAAGTTTTTATACACGAACCAAATAAACAGAGAATTTTTATATTAGAACTGAATGGTCTGGGAGAATTCATAGGCAAGGTGTTTCCCTATGTACCCTATCTAAATTACATAGATGATATACCTACGATTAAATCATTTATCTATGTGGATACATCCAACGCAGATAAATTATCTACATTATTTAATTGATTTATCTAAAACATCAAACTTATCCATATAATTTTCCCAAAAAATTGTATGTCTTTCCTTCAATAGAAAACGGCCAAGACATCGTCCCGATTGGTCCGAAATGATGAAAGAGGTAGAAAGTGGTAGAAAACTTCGACATGTCGAATGCAATGATAGGTATGTTCTAAACTGAAATAAAGAAAAGAAAGCCATGTTAATATCTCATCCTTTCACTTAGATCTCAACCCATACTTACATGCAAATCCATGACAAAGGTGGACAATAAATTCATCTACGAAACAGAAAAGGAAAATTCCCACAACAAATTGCTGCAACAAATTCAATCGGGTGTACGATTAAAGCCAACACAGACCAATGATCGTAGTAAACCGTTTATTGAGGGCTTGCGCAAATTCCGGCGACAAATGACCATTGAGGAACAATTGCAAAAGTCTCAGTCGAAAATTAATATGTTGGCAAATGCTGCTGGTGGAACGGCGGCGGCGGCAGCAACGGCTGATGTAAGTTGTCGGGGTGATGGGTGGTGTCTAACTGAAATTTATACGAAAATGTTATTTTCATTCCCAGGCCACCGATGGTGCTGCCTCTATTGCCGGCAGCAATTTATCACGAGCCGGTAGTATTGTCTCTGCTTTATTGGACGGTTCCAGCGGCGATGAATTGGATGACATCGATAAGATTCGTGATGATCTACAAAGTACCAAACAAATGTTGGCCCTTGAGCTGCGTAATCGTGAGGCTCAAGAACGTGAAAATAAGAAATTATTAGCCAAAATTGCCACCCTCGAAGCGGAATTGGAACGTGAGAAATCACGTGAAAAGACCTTGGAATATGGTTCAAGAATCATTGTGGCCACAATGGAAACAACACCAGCCTCAGAGGAGGCCTATGTTAATTCGTTGAAAAAAGAAGCCGAAGAATCAAAGAAAACATCTAAAGATTTGGAAAGTAAGTATTTGGAGACGAGCGAATTGCTGGATCAGGCCAAGAGTGAAATTGAGGAGCAGAAACGACAAATACAAGCATTGGAAAGGAAATTGGCACAAGCATTACAGGTAAGAGAGAGGAGGAGATTTTGGAATGGGAATTTGAGCATAACAAAATTCGCCGTTTCTGCTGCTTGCTGCAATTAATTCGAAATGCTTGTTTATGCTTTATTCCTAGGGTACATGCCCCCGCTGCCATTATAATATCACAGCACAAAATGATTATTATTATGCTTATGATGAAAATGATTATGAAGCTCATGCATATTGTAATCATAATGGTATACATAAGGTATTTAACAAAAAAAAAGAACACAAATAAAAAGTGAAATTTAACAAAATCAAACATGGGAGGGCATTCAAGGAGTAATATCGAAAGAATAAATTCGATTTGTATTAAAGTCAATCCCTTTAAAACCCACTACTCCTTTTTTGTCCAAAATGAAGATATTTGTGGTCATATTATTGACAAGTTTTTAATTCATTTTACTGCAAATTTCATTAATCTATATTTGTACACACATAAATACACATCATCCTTACTTCCTCCCCAAATTTTAGATTGAAGGATACACTTTATGCTCTACATCCACCTGGTGATGATCTCTCATTAGGAAAACAGTATTACACACTAAAAGTGGAGAATCCTTTAACCAAGGAATTCTAAAGAGAGAGCCTCTATCATATTAACTAAAAATTTTATTATCATTATTTAAATAAAATGTTATATAGTTTATAGTAGTAATTATTTATATATCCATATGACGGACGACTGACTTGTGATTAGAAGTTTATATAGGGGAGAGGGGGGCACCTTTGAACACTTTTTGCTTTCAAGCCTTATAAAATTTTTTATTTTATAATTTTTGGTTTCTTATAAATTTTAACTAATAGGTACATATGTAACCTTTAAAATGAATATACATATGACACACTATAAGCTTGATAAATATATTTTATTACTGTTTTAATGAACGAACTCAAAGTGTTCAAAACTGCCCCCCCCAGGGGGGCATATTTGTGGGGTTGATATTTGTGAACGACATGGTTTTTTACAGTATTTATGTTTAAATATGTATGTATTTTATTAATACATATCAGAAATGCATTAATTCATTAAAAAATATATAAAAAATGTTCAAAATTTAAAAAAATTAGATCAAAAGTTATTAAAACATAAAATGACTTAAAAACAAAAATTAATATGGTGAAAAATACAGTTAATTTCGTAATCTTATTAGCCCATTTGAAATTTTGAGAAATCGAAGCCAAAAGTTAAAAACTCCGCTTTTTACTCGAATTTAAAGGGCATGTTCAAAGGTGCCCCACCCATGGCATTTTACGGAAATTTAAAATAACTTTTTTTGTAATAAATATATATGAAAGAAATTACATTAGTTATGTTTGAAATGATTGTTGGAATGCAAAAAATTTGTTTGACGAAAGAAAACTATCACAGAATTCTTTCTGCGCCCTTACAACCAAATGAATAAAAGTTTACAATGACACTGAGAAAACATGGTCACCCATGCACAATTTTTCGACAACTGAAAAAGCAAACCAAAGTGGTTTACGCATATAGAGAACAAGATTGCCATATACAAAAATGTGGTTGCGGGTCGGAAAAATATTAAACCAAGATTTTATGAGCGCTGTTCAAAGGTGCCCCACGTTCAAAGGTGCCCCCCTCTCCCCTACTTAGTGATAATAAAAATAAGTCGGCAGGGCTGAATTTTGAATACCCTCCCCTACATGAGGCGGGTATTAAAAATACCTAAAATCGTTCGGGGTTTCCAGAAGGAAAATAGAAATACCAAAACAAAGACACTCAAGTTGTGATAAGACTCCGAACATACCGAAAATGACGAGTGGCGTTTGAAAAACATTTCGGAAACCAAAAAGGGACCGATATTGATCATTTTTGCTAGTGAACCCAATAAAATCAAAAATATAAAATGACAGACAACTTGGCTGAAAACGTGAAATGGCACCGTTATATGAGGACTGCCACGAAACTTGGGTCAACATTGATATTTGCTGTTAGGGTGATTGCAACACAATAACAATATTGCAGCCAAATCGGTTGGAAAACTTGTCCAATATCTCCAAAATTTGCAAATATTGGGGGTACGGTTACATGGAGGCTATCTTGAAACTTGTCTGGATATTTTTGGTAGGCAGTTTTGCTGTGCAAAGAAAACCCAAAATATCAAATTACAGACAATTCGCTTGAAAAACGTGATCCAAATCAAATAAATACCGAATAGTAGGGGATAGCATTATATTTTGGGGCTATGCCAAAACAAGGACGGATGCACAAAAACCATGTGTATACCATGTAATTGTAGGTGTGCGTGTGTATTAATTTTACATGGCTAAAACAAAGCCACATAGCCCAATAAGGATGATGAGCCACTTAACCAAAGGCGAGACGCATATTAGTGGGTGTGTTGGTTCGCGCTCTGGCTTTCCCTTTCACTTTGATCATTAAACTCGACTCGAAAGAGGTCTTAAGAGGTCTCAATGATTATTTCGACGTGTAAGCGGATTGACAAAATTAATTTACAATCCTTTATAATGGAGGTTATATAAATGGATAGACACAAAATGGATGAATTTCTTCCACAAAACAACGATTTGGTATATCACTATCCGGCATAACACTCGAGAGAGTTGACTATATTTCAATTTATTTCTTTAATGGACTTCAATTTAGAAAAAGGCCCTTCAAAGGACTTCAATTTTGAAAATAACCCTTAATTGTGTTTTGAAACTTTAGAACCCTCTATAGGGTTTTTTTTAATAGAGGACAACTTTATAAGTAGTTCCATACTATAAAGAATGCTATAGAGAGGATTATGTTTATAGAAGCCCTTCTAAACATCTAATGAAGACCTCTTCATATGAGCTTTATATCCTCTCTATGGAAGACATATCGCTCATTTGGCATAAATCAAAAAATCTATTTTGCAGAAAATGCGTTTTAAGTTGTGATTTTTTTTACACAACACATTAACTCAAAAACGACGATTTTTATTTATGCCGATCTTGCAGCAAATGAGCGATATGTATGTATTTACGTGGAACATCCTTTATACGGCCTTCTTCTATAGAATACTCATTAAAGTGCCTTCTACCCATGGAAGATCTCCCTAAGAAACTTCTCACTACAGAAGTATGGTTTAGATACCACTTAAGGGGTCATTCTTCTAAATAACACCCTTAAGACCTACATTCTATTAATAATCTTAAGGAGCTTCAATGTATAGAGGATCTGATGGAGAAAAGTATAGAACGGCTGGTTAGAGAGACTCCGTCTATATAAGACCCCTCTTTTCTATATTATGCTACTTTATCGATATCATGTAGGTAGATGTCCATCACCAAGATATCGCTATAGATGAGAATTTACCTATAATAGGCCTCTCCAGATGTGGCTTCTATCTACAGAATACCACCTAACGGGATTCTATCTATATATGACCTGTTAAGGGATGGGAAAGGTGGATACACCTTTTGATGTAATGCAAAATCATTCATCCATACTGGAGCCATCTATATTCAAAGACCAGCTAAAGTTAGAGAGGCAGGATTTTCCAGGATTTCCTGCTTGGAATTGTTATTTTGAAATTCTTGAAGTCGATGCAGGTGGCATATGTAGTCACTAAAGTGGCTATCATTATCCAGAATATATCGATTTCAAATCATGTTAAAACTACTGACATGTCCTATATGCGAGTTTCGCTACACGGTATTTCTTTGATTTCGATTTCTCTTCACTGTGGACTGTCTGTGTACGAGGTTCGCCACGATTTCGTTTCTTTGAGCTTGAGAGCACATCTTGTTGTCATCTATACAGACCAGTTAAAGGTAGAGAGCCACTTGTAAAGGATTCCCTTTTTGGAATTATCATGTTGAAATTCTTGGAGTCGAGGTTGGTGGGCATCATTAACGTGGGTATCATTATCCACAATATCTCAATTTCCATGCACTCTGACCTATCTGAGTGTGAGGCTTGTTTCGTTGAGCTTCAGAGCAAATCTTGTTGCTTGGAACTTAACTAAAAAATACGTACAAAGTAGATTAAAGCCAATCAATGACCTGCACGTTTGATAAACACTTGTACGAGTAACGTGGATAAGACCTCTTCAATCCTCTTTCATAATTATTTGTCGTTGATGGATATTCCGAGGTATTTCATTAGAGTCCAAAAGCCACCTCATTCAATAGGAAATTTTGAGATTTTACGTTTCTTAGTGAAGAGTACCAATTCTGCCTTCGTAGGGTTGGCCTCAAGAACACTTTATTATATTTTTTATTTATTTTTTTTTTTATATCAGATATGGTTCATAAACTTTACCATATATGTACATTGAATAAATTAATTGGATTGAATAATCGTCATACAGCTACAGCCTTTATTTTAGTATGATCGAACTTCAACAGCAACACATTTATGACGAGGAGCTACAATAGAGTACTCCTCCATGCGGTGTGCTTCTGTTAAAAGTTTTCCTTTCGGACCTCTGAATACGCTACTATGTTAATTAGATTATTATTATGACTCTATGTATATTGCCAGTTCCTCCTGTTTCTTCTATAGTGACATCTTGGGTAATGAAAGAGCGGACGAACTAGCTACACGAGGATCTCAATCCACAAATCTAGCAACTGATGACTCAACCAAACCACCCATATGTCATTTTTACCATAACATTAAGGCATTCTTCAACGAAAGAGCCTATGAACTTTGGCCCAACGAACCTAGGTGCATCGTGTCAAGATCCATTTGACCGACTCTGTCTACCAAAAGAACGAACTCACTGTTGAACCTGAGCAAAGCTTAAATAAGAGTAATGACAGGAATCATTACTGGTAACTACAATATCAGGCTTTTACTAGTAAATGGGATCTTGATGCAATTGACTACTGTAGACTCTGCGTTGACGAGGAGGAGACGGAGACAATTGAGCATCTCCTGTGTCACTGCCCAGACCTGGCTTACAGGCGGGACAGACTAGTGGGTGCTCATTTTCTACCGAGTCTTAGCTTCTTCTCAACAACCGAACCTGCTCTAATCTACAGCATAATTAGAAACGTAAAGTGGTTAGGAATGTACAACCTTGACACGTAACACATCTGAATCCTATAGCCATCGACCTTATTCCAATCTTAGGCATCAGTTAAGTCATCTTAGTGAATATGTTCGGAATTATATCGATCAGGAAGTCAATTATCACTTTGTATAGTCCATCTTCCATTGTGGTCAGTTTTACCCATAGATCATGAATTTAAGCGAGGATTTGAAATTGACCATCATATACCTATTTGGATGCAGTTGGTACGCTGACTGAAAAACGTAGAACACTGAAAGTTACGAGATCGCCTAACATCCCAAACTTAGAGGAACACTTTAATTTAGAAATAACCTAAGTATTATATAGGTTGGTAATTTAATGAGCGCCAGTTCCACCTCAACAATCATGGGGTCATATGCACTCGCTCATTATCTCCAAGACTCTCTCAAAATACCGCAGATTTTGTGACTGATAATGAATTGTATTGGGCTTGCCACTGTCCACGAACTGTGGGCATGTCCGATAGCTTTTAGCTCTGCTTCCCGTAGGGGAAAGTGTGACTAAATTATATCGATGTAATCAAAAACGGGTGGGATCCTCTAATACCAACACCGAAATGTTATATTATAATAAGTATCAAATTCCTGTCGACATTTCGTTGGGGATATTATCTTCAATCCATTTGGAGTTAAATTTGGTGGACTAACTGAATTGAACTGCTGGACTATTCTTGTGAAGGGATATAGTAGTGATTCGATTTTTTTGATGAAGGGTATTCTTCGGAGTCCTTTTTCAAATATTATATTTTTTAATGTTCCTATTCTTCTAACACCATAATTTTATATCATTCCTCTTAACAGCATGGATATAAATCCCACTCACAAAAATATACCTTGATCATTAAGCTTCCCATAAAATCCCTAGAAAATAAAAAATAATTTTTATTTTATTTTATAATTTTAAATATTACAATATTTCATTTTTTACATACATAAATACTTACCCCGCTTTGATCTCGCATTATCCTGCCTAAATGCCTATCTTATAGTATGCTAAAATATGAGATTATTTCTAATATTACAATTTCTCCAATGACAGGGCGGCTATGATTCTAGACGGCCTAGCGATGCCCTTAATGGCTTGGACAGTCCACCTGAATTTGAGCCAGAAAGTGAAAGTGATCCCGATGAGCCCGAAGAAAAGAAGATTGCCCGACGTGAACGACGTCTCAACAAAGAAGTTAAGGCATTGCGCAGTAAACTCACCAAGGTCAAAGTGAAACAGGAGGCGGCACGCAAAGAAAAGGCAGCATTAAAGGAGGCGATGAAAAAGAATCATGTCATACTCAAGTTAGATAAAACAAAACCCTATTTGTAATGTCCTCCTTTAATATTTTTTCCAATTCCCTATCTTTTTTTTCAGGGAAGAAAAGAAAAAGTTCAAGAAATTGGAAAAGGAAGTACACAAAATGGCTGCATCCATGAAAGAAGATATGGATCTTGATGATGATGAAGAAAAGGACGAGGCCGAAGATAAGGAAGAAAGTGAAGATGAATCGGAGGAAGAGACCGAAGAGGAATCCGAAGAATCTGAATCGGAGGAGAGTGAAAATGAAACAGAAAGTGAATCAGAGGCAGAGGTAAGATCGAAAGCTCTCGTTTTATTAAAGTATCTAGTAACATTTTTTCTGTGTTAACAGGATGCCACCAACCAAGCCAAGAAGGACAATTTGGAACCACGTCTCAAGAAACACGAAAGCCGTCTGAATGCCATGAAGAAATGTAATGTTTTGTTGCAGGCCAACGTTGATAATTTACAAGATGAAATACATCAAGTCCGTTCCAAGGCATCCAATCTACAAAGCGAACTGGATGCTGTTCTAGCCGATTTAGGTTTTTAAATACACCTGTCCTCCACCTTCCTTATAACAACACAAACAAACAAAAACACATAATACACGCAGAAACACACACTACACAAAATTTAATAATAATATTACAATTTAACAAAAAACAAACGACAACAACAATAAAACATAATTAATTGTTTTTTAATAATAATAATAAAGAAAAATACATTTTTAAGAATTTAATTCTTACCTTTAATTTGTGGTTTTGTGCCTTTTTTATTGTTTCCTTTTCTTTTATTTATTTTTTTGTAAAATGTATTTAATCAAAATAAAATGAAATTTAAATAAAATTAAGACAGTTTGGCGATGTTAACATACACACACACAACGCGACAAATTATACAATTTAATTGTTTTTCTTTAAATTAAGTTTATTTTGCGGGGAAAAATAATTTGAATGGAATTGAATTTGTTTCCCTTTTGTAATGGATGACAGGTGATTATGAAAATGCTTCTTCTTATTTGCCATAGAAACCGTAACCATGACAATGATAACATAGCAAAGCCAATCACCACCAATGTGTGATTGGAATAGGGTAGCTCACATTCAGAGTTTGCTAATTACAACCCTGTAAACCTGAGGTGAAAGCAAACGAGCCGAGGACCAACCTGGCGAATGAAGTTGAAAGCAAATGAGACGAGGACAAACCTCGTGTTTACGAATGAGGTCAAAGCAAACGCGACGAGGACCAACCGTGGCGAATGAGAATCAAAACAAACGAGAGGAGGACCAACCAACAGCTGATCACAATTTGAACAGTTGATCAGCTGTTTGTAGTTCCGGAACGAACTAGTTCATTGAATGACACTTCGTTTTGTTATTCACTGTAACATGATAACACATAACATAACATGATAACATCATAACAAATCTATGGACTGTAAAATAAGAGAATGTACGTTCTCGTTTAAATTAAATTGAGTTTATTTTGCGGAAAAAATATTTAAATGCTATTGAATTTATTTACCTTTGCCCTGGATGACAGGTGATTTGTGAAAATGATTCTTCTTATTTGTCATAGAAACCGTAACAATGACAATGATAACATATCAAGGACAAACACCACCAAAGCACAGCGTAGGCACAAATCATATATGCTGTAATACAAAAATATACAACTGTGTGTAGTGGAAACACACACAGGCAGGGTGTCAAGGGTACGTTAAATCAAATGTGAAGACTTTCAAACTATTCAAAAATAAAGAAGCAGTTTAATGTATGGCTCTCAAACTATAATATTTGTGGAAAACGGCAACAAAACTATAAGCTATAGTATTCAAACCACAATTTAATAGACTTGATGCATATTTTTATAGAATATACGTGAAATTAATCATAAAAAAACAATATAAAATAATATAAAATATCCGTCCGTCTATAGAAATCACGCAATATTAAAAATAGAGCTTTGAATTTTTGCACACACTACTGCTACTACTCCTATGATGATTGACATTGATAATGGGCTACATAGGCCCACATTTAGTTATAGCCTCCATATAACGGTACCGCAACATTTTCGGTAATTTGGGTATTTTTGGCACGTTTTTCAACTGACTGTATGTTGAGTAGTCATTGACTGGAATTATAGCAAGTGAAAAAGCTTAAGTTCGGCCGGGCTGAACTTTGGATAACCACCACCGTAGATATACTGACACGTACTTGAAATAAAAATATACGGAACATACTAAAAAGGGAACCTATACCGATATTTCTACGATTATTTAAACCATAATGTGCAACTAAATTCCAGAAAATGTTAATGGATATTTATACTCTTTTTGATCCGAATTGACTGTAATTTCGTTCTCATTGATTTCAAATCTTACTTATCTGGCTTGAGACAGAACACTTGTTCTATAAGCCAAACTTAAAAAAGATTTTAGGCGCGTCGATTTTGTGCGCAGTTTTTCCAATTTGAAAGACCATTCTTTGATATATCATCCTCAACTTGATCTTTCTATCGAATTCGTGATCTTCACCTTCCATTCTTCACCGTGAAGCATCAGTCGGCTCCTATTTATATGCCTTTTGAGCTGGGGCATCCTCATCCATCCGCATAACATGGCCTAGCCACTGTAGTCGCTACAGCTCGGTACGTCTGACTATGTCGACGGTCGTGTATAGATGGTATAGCTTGTGGTACAATCGACGCTGATATTTACCGTCGACGTAGTTCGCCCCGTATATCTTCCGGATAATTATTCTCTCAAACACTTCAAGAGCTGCTTGCGCAAGTACCCATACTTCTGATCCATACACCAGCACGGGTAATATCAGCGACTTGTAGAGTGTGAGTTTGTTCTGGTGAGGGGTGGGATGGTCTTGTTTCTAAATTGCTATCTTAGACCGTAGTAGTATCAGTAGGCCGAATCTCCCAATCTCCGAATATCAAAAGTAATGTTATTAGTTTTATTTATGGCGGTACCGATATAAAATCTTTGACTACCTCGAAGCTGTAGTTTTCCAGTTCCCTATTTGGTCCGAGTCTACTGGACGTCTTGCGCCTTGATACCATCAGCTTGGTCTTCTCGCCATTTACTGCCAGTCCCATTTTGGTCGACTCCTTCTCATTTCGTTCAAAGGTGGCTGTTACCGATCGCAATGTTCGACCCATTATGTCGATGTCATCGAGTATCATATGCTGTTTGGTGTACAGAGTTCCATTTCTGTTCACCTTTGCCACTCGTATGACCTTTTCCAACAGGATGTTAAAAAGCTCACACGACAAACTTGCACCTTGTCTGAATCGGTATTGAAGGGCTCCGAGAGGTCCTTTCCGACTCCCGACTGCATAGCCATATTCATTTTGCAGAAATGCCAAACGCAGACATGGCTTTAAACACCACTGAACGGATTGGGCCGTCGAATGCGGCTTTATAGTCGACGAATAGGTGGAATGTGTCGAAATGTTTTTCGTGGATCTTTTCCAGGATTTGACGCAGAGTGAAAATCTAGTCTATGGTGGATTTGCCAGGTCTGAAGCGGCATTGTTATGGTCCAATAATGTCATTGACCATTGTCTTCAGTCGTTCGCACAGCACGCTGAATGCCATGGGAAGGAGACTAATTCCTCTATATTTGGTACATATAGTCTTGTCTCATTTTATCTAAGTGGACATGCATTCCTCTAGCCAAATTGTACTAAACAGTTGGTGCATGCTCCTGATCAGCATCTGATCATCGGTCTTAAATAGTTCGGCTGGTAACCAATCGAGTTTTTACTCTAAGACCCTTGACAATTGCACTATGGGCCAAGAATCAATTTTTTAGGCAAAAAGTCTATTTCAGGTAGAGATGAAAAACCGTTCAAATCTGAATTTCTCAACATTTGATTTTATGGAGTTAACCGATAAGTGCACTGAGCGGCTGAAATGATTTTATCTTTTTCAGATGATTTTCATTTAAGAGAGAACCGAAATAAAGGAATAAAAATCAAATAAAAAATCATTTCCGACCCTATAAAGTATATACATATAAAAAATTCTTGTAGTAGCGCTTGCTAGTGAACATTTATTTTCTGCTTTTCCTCAATATTGTATAAAATTTTCAAAAATAAATTTTGTAACGGTTTGATGTAAGCGACATCTGCTTTTGGATTTCAAGGATACCAAGAGAAATTTCCTTTTTTATCACTCTTTTTGGTCTTTTACTTTCTTGGAAGAATGTACTAATTGCAATCAATACCAAGCCTTCGTTAGATATCCGTAGGAAATTCTCGTCCATTTTGTCTGCTGCAAGTCCATAAGTGAACATCTATCTACCAATATCTCCAAAATAACAATTTTAAAATTTAACTAAAAATTCTGGTGTTAAAAAAAAAACTTTGAAATTTTCTATTTTTCCATTTTTATATCGTCAGCTGGTTTTTTTTTTAAACCTTGTAAGTATTTATAGTTTATTTACGAAATGTGTGTAGGCAGTTTTTTTTTCTTTCTTTAATTTAGTTGCCTTGGATAATTTATTAAAATCCACCAGATAACCTATAAGGTTATTTATCACCTTTTAAATTCGACGAGTTCTGCTCTCTGAATTGGTAATTATTGATCTGTAATATGATCAAATGCAATGTCTCATTCAATGTTTCTTTTTATTTGCTAGGCTCAGCTTTTTATCGTTTTGCTGAAGAAACATTTTCGAATTAGAGAGAGGGAATTAAAAAAAAAGTTTTCTATGTCCGAATATAATTCTACTCAATGACTGTGATCAAGCAGCCCTAACTCCATTTCAACCGTCTCAAATATATACACGCCGTCAGCCTATAACATCAGACTAAACACATTTGTTGAAACACGAAGTAAAAACAAGAAGAAGAAATAATTGGAATAAAAAGCATATAATCGAATTTGTGAAGGAAAAAAAAAGAAGAGTGACCGCCGAATTTAGTGGTGCATTCTTTTAGTGGTAACCTGGAAAAATTTTATCTAAAGGTCAAAAAGAGCTGAATAGTGTATGGTGGTAAGGTGGAGAAACTGGCAAAAGTAGAGAAAAATTGATATACCAGAAAATTGGTTAAGAGGAATTTTTTGCATTTATGAATTTACATTATTTGCCGTCAGAATTAATTTAATTATTGCCAAAAAATTAAAATTTACATATTAATAGTATTTAGTGTTAAAAATTTTTGAGTTCCGAGTAATTATTTTATTGAGAAGTAACAGTTGAAAGAACTTGTGCATAAAGAATAAAAAACATCGTGTTCGTCTGTCTGTTAGCATTGCATTTAACAAAAGCATCATCAAATATACAAACAGAATTACATATAATTGGCATACTTAATGATCATTTCAATATCGCTGAAACCTACTGTTAAGTATTTGATGGAGCTTCTGTTAAATGTTAATGTTAATAGACTTATGATAAATTTTAACAACAGTGCCAGTGAGAGGAATTTCGCTGTTGCCTCTGCAAAATCTCTGTCTATTGGCCAAACATATTAAACACTCGAAACAAACATAGATAACATCACTCAAGATCAAATTGCCTGCAGCTTTTATAC